TCATTCCAACTGACGGAATCAGTGCACCGAGTCAGGAACCCCCTAGGAGGCCTAGCTCTGCCCCAACTAGTAAATGAGACCCAGTCAACATCTCAGTGATCTGGGTAGATAACAAATTCTCCTGGGTGGTGAGTAGGATTAGGAAGGAGTGGATTGATTGGTGGAACTGTTGCCTCGGCATTTACCCACTTTGTGTTCTGTTGGCCCAGTGGGCTCAAGATTACGGTCCTCGCTCACATCTACGGTCAACCAGGAATGAGACAACCCCCTTCAGTAGGGGAGACCAGGGGTCAGCAAGGGGAACCTTTGAGGCTACCCCCTGACATTGACCACTAATTTTTATAAACTCCTAGAACCAGAGAAATGGGCAGTTCTGCTGTTGGTTCTAGAAAATTGTCAAATGAACAGAATTAGACATTTAGCCCCAAATCATAAACTTACCAAATGTTGACCCCCTACTGTATTTGCCAACCAAATAATGACTAGCCTTATAGAAAATTCTGGTTCACTAGAGCAGTAAACACCTAAGTATCACAGTACAATGACTGCAGTATGAAAACTGTCCCAAATTGAAACCATACCTTCACCCTTTATTAAATTCCCTTGGAGACATTTAAGTTCTAGCAACGTATTCTCCCTTTTTTTTGTTGCCATGGAGAAAACAGAATCTCTCTTCCCTGGGGGAAATGAAAGTCCCAGAGAAATTAGAGGCCAGAGTGTCATTGTAATTTTCTAATATATCACAATCAGCTAGACACAGCCTCACTGTGTTCATTCTGTTTACTTCCCTGCGCACACCCACTCCTCCCACCCCTCACCTTTCTCAGATCCTTTCCTGCCCTTCTCTCTGCCCTGGGAGGCTGGTCCCTGGGAACTGCATCATTGGAGCTCCCTTGCTTGCTGGCTTCTCATCAGGTTCGGCCAATGAGAGCCATTGATTGGAGACTGGAGGGTGGGAAGAGAGGTTGGAATATTTCTTCCAGCTTCCTCCCTGCTTTGGGACATATTTCTGGCAGTGGCTGTGTACTTGAACGACTACAGATTCTGTCTAGAAACCCCTTCTACCCAGATCTAGCTCTCAGTGGGCTAAGATAACACTTTTTCCTCTCCTTTCTTATTTAAGGGTATTACCAGGTTCCTGCTGTTGCCAGCCTTGGTGACTCAACCACCCTGTTGATTCCCTTAATTCTGTCCATACCTCTGACTGTCCTTTAATTACATCCTCTTCCTTTGACCCACTGGTGTTGCCTCCTGTTTCCTGATGTGACCTTGACTTCACACTTAAATACCCGGCACCAGGCAGTCTGGGTCCTTCTCCAAGAGCAGGATTCCAGGATGTCTTCCATGAAAGCGGATGGAATCATTTCAGCACCTGCATTGCTGAATTAATTCCAACTTGAAGTCTCATCTGTTCCACTTTTCCAAAGTTCCAAAGGGTAACAGGACATAAGGATGTCATAGCACCAAGCCTAGACCTATACCACTTAGTTACAATAGCATTCCCTAAACAAGAGTGATGTTTCCAGAACACAGTGCTTATTACGGTGTCTGGGCCCACATTGCTGTTGCCAGCTGTCGACACTAACACAGACGAGGTGCCGTCTGGGGGAATTAAGGTAGACAAGAAAGCAAAAAGAGAAGAGAAAATCCGAATTTCACCTTCACTGGATGCCAGGGCATTTGTCAATAATGCTGTTCACCAAACATTCACCCATCTTCCCCATTCCAAGCACAGAAAAGGACTGATTTCCAGGTTCCTTGTGGTTGGGTGGGGTGTTATGACTAGTTCAGCCAATGAATCTTGAGTAGAAATGACTGGAAGTGATGTGTGTCTGTCTGTGGCTGAGCACTTACTATCTGGTGTGAGACTTTCCAGAGAGCTCTTTCCGCCAATTTCAAAATTTGGGATGCGTCACCAGCCTGGCTCCCTTAGTGACTATAATGAGAACCCCCAAGTTAATACATTATGAACATGAAGTTTGAGAGAAAAATACACCTTTGAGCACCAAAATGGAGGGACTGTGTGTTACTACAGTACCATCTAGCTTACCCTGATTCAAATTATTTTTTTAACGTAGTAGAAGTCTAACGAACTCAATGACCTTGACCACTTGCTTCTTTCCAAGCCTTGCCGAAGCCCCACTTGAAGAGCTATAGAACCTGTCATTGCTTACGCTCCAAAAACCAAGTGCAACGCATCCTGTCCTCTGTCTCACACTCTGTAATGTCTTTCTTTAGCCTTTGGATCCCCCGGGCCATGGCTGATTTTACTACTCCAAAGGCAGCACCAAAATCCCTCTTTTCCACCAGTTTCCCTGCAGCATCAGTTCCTCTGGAGAAGCAAAAAATGTCCTGAGTAGCATTTGAGAATGAGTTTCTTGAGATGAGGGAGGAGGAGTTGTGATAGCAGAAGCCATTCTACCCACAAAGATTAAAGAGTTTGCTCTGAATTGCATTGGCTCTGGCCCAGCCGACAGCCCTTCCCTCTCCATGTGGGGTGAGGTTAGCTGGCAGAGACTCATTACACGTGCAGTCACTTCCACAGTTTAATGTCCCAGAGTGAGTCTCCCCTGACCCTAGGAAAGACATTTCTAATGAAGGCCACGACAACACCCAAGCTCATTTAAGATCCTGAACCAGCCATACACCAGAGACCACAACCTTCTAATAATGTAGTGATTGGTTCCCAGATTCTGTGAATGTACCCACTTGATCTGCCATGATTTTCCAAGTGTTACAAGCAGAGGGGGAGGAGTTTAATAGCACTAGATGGTATTTCCATGGGACTCTAGAATGTCAGTCATTTCTCCAGTTTACAATGTTCCTTAGAGAAGCACAAGGAACAGGAGCTGAACTGAAAAGCAATTATTCCTTGACTACCAGCTAGACTAGGGTCTCCTCCTTCTGATACTTACTCTTTTTTTTAAATTTAATTTAATTTATTTATTTTTATACAGCAGGTTCTTATTGATACTTACTCTTTGCAAAAGCTAGGTAGGAGGGCTAAGAAGCATGGTAGACAGCTTCCAGTATGGCCTGCAAAGAGTCCCATCTAGTGCTATCCAGACTCAATCTCCAGCAGTGATCCCCACATCTAGAAATATCCACACTCTTATGCAGTCTACTCCCACCTTGTATCAGGATTGGTCTGTGTGATTAACGCATGCAGCCGTAGCAATGGCATGACACCTCTAAAATTAGGTTATAAAAGACATCGAAGCTTTGTTTTGGGTTCTCTCTCCCTTTTCGATCACTTGCTCTGGAAGAAGCCAGTTGCCATGTGTTTTGAACATTGAGGGAGCCCTATGGAGAGGCCCGTGTGGTCCTCCTTCCAACAGCCTGGGAGGAACCAAGGCCAGCCAATGCCCACGTTGAGTGAGCTTGGGAGCAGATCCTCCAGCACCAGATGCCTGGTGCCCCAGTCAACAGCTTGACTGTAACCTCCTGAGCTAGAACTACCAAACTAAGCCATTCCTGGCCCTTGAGATTATGTGAGATAATGTTCTTTTAATCTGCTAAATTTTGCAGTATTTTTTTTTACGTAACAATAGATAATAAAAGGCCAATGGCTCTCTGAACCATGGGACCTTCCCAAACCTCTGGTGGCCAACAGTGTACTGGAACTTGAAGCAACATTCAGCCTCTTGGTTCTGCCTTCTGGGGTTGAGTGCCATGCCTCAACGACCCACGCATCAACTCTATCCTTTTGGGAGCAGACGGGTAAGAGAATAGGAAAGGAATGGGTATACAAGTAGATCTGTAATGAAGAAAGGAGACACTTTGAGATTTATTTCCACTTTTACACATACCTAGACTAATGCTTCTCTTTATTACCTGTGTAATGGTCTGCTGTTGGCCGAGCTGGGCCTTTCTCATTGTACAGGCAATGCCTCTACTTCTCTTCCAAGTGTACCTAAGTGCATAGATACCGGATGAGAGGTTTTGCTTTGGAAATTGGGGGAGCAGTTTTGGTTGGAAAGTCTAGGAAGCAAGTGTAAACAAAGGTAGTGAGGGGTCTGAGCTCAACAGTCACAGTGACAGAGGCTGAACTTGCTCTTCAGGAGAGATTCATACACAGAGCAAGGCTCTGGGCCCAGGAGAAACACTCTGGATCTGGGCAGGAAGCTTTTCTCCCTCTTTTGCTGCTGTAACCCAGGAACTCAGGCATCTCCAGGTTGGATAACCCAGTATGCATGCCCTTGGCAGTGGTGGGTCCCTGTCCCTCAGAGACAAGATCAAGTTAGATTAAATCACCAGAAGCAGGGCTGACACCAATCTGCGGTTACAGCCCTCCTTCAAAAATACCTAGAGTCGCTTCTGTTTTCCTAACTGGGCCTTTATTAATACAAGCTCCATCACCCAGGAAATCAGAAGAGGAGGAAGATGGGAGACTAAACATGGGCTTTTTTTTTTTTTCTCAGACCTATCCTGACACCAACTCGGTGTCTAAAAATTCCATTCTAAAGATTAATAAATAAAAAAATTCCATTCTGACACTAGCAGCTGATGGAAGAGAAGCATAGGGCAAGGTCAGGATGCAGGGGTCGTCCAGAGCTCCTTCCTTCTCCAGGTGTGCCACCCTGCCGGCACCTCAGCGTGCTCACCAGCTGGGAAGTTCCTTGAACCTCATCATTTAGGGGTGTTTATGGTTGTTTCATTATGTAGGTAGGATGGATTAAACCGTTGGCCATTGGTGACTGAACGCAATCTCCAGCCCTTCTTCCTTCCCTGGAGGTTAAGGGGCGGGGCTGAAACCTTCAACCTTCTCATCATGTGGTTGGTTTGTGTGACAACCAGTCCCACCCTGAAGCTATCTAGTGATCTCTCCTCCAACCCATGAGTCATCTTCCTAGCACACAAAAGATAGTAAATTCCAGGCGTTTTAGGAGCTCTGTGCCAGGAACCCAGGACAAAAATCAAATATTCTTTATTATACCCCAGCAAGAGACTTTAGAATAAAGTGACAAAGTTGGGGCAATTTTTGAATCTCCCCAGGAGTACACAGAGGCCGTAGTGCTGGGACTCTGGGCCCCTGCCCCGAGTCTCCAAAATGGGCTGCTCCAGGTTGCAGGGGTGTGTCCCACAGGTGAGCTCTGTCATCACTCATCCTATGGGAGCGGTGAAACGGTACATGTTTTCAGCAAGGAGCCACTTCAGGCAGAACTGAACTCTCAGAAATGCCTTGCACTACCTGCTCAGGGATTCCTTCAAGCAATGTCCCAGGTGACAGTTTCCTTTGCACTAGGCCAAACCTAAGGTATGGAAAGAACACAGACTATTACATTGAATATTATTTTTCCCTGGGAGTCTTGAATCATGAAGAAAAAATGAGAATGTTCAACATGTGAAGAAAATGATCCTTGGCTCCAGGAAAAATCAGACTAAGCATATTTTGATTTCAGTATTATAAAGGCAATGAAATTACCTTTATAATATAGCAAATACTCCTATAGGAAAACGATAATTTTCTTTTTAAAAGTGGTTTTATTTTTTTCCCCCTTCTTATTAATTTTTAAAAATCTTGAGTTGACAGCTCTGTTACTGATACCAAAACCCACGGATGGTTCCTTGGCACATTTGACTGGATGAAACTGATGGCCTTGGGTTTCCTGTGCAGCCATACTGCACATCTAGGGAACCAAGTTTGTATTGGCTATAGGAGACTAGAGGAAGGAGTTGGTCTCATCCTTCCCTGGGAGTGGGACTGTCTTCATTTAAAGATAAGGTGGGGTGCACTGTGAAGGGAAAGAACTGAAGTTATGTCTCTTACTTTAGCAGTTTTCTGCAAAGCAAAATATCCTAGAAGCAAACAAAACAGTTCTTGAAGACTTGCCTTATGCTGTTTCCCTGCATATGAGCTTCTCAAAAAATAAAATGCACCAATAAACGAGTTACTTTTTCATTTCCATATGTGGGGAAATGTACAAAGCTCTGGTATATATATATATATATATATATATATATATATATACCTACTCACAAGTATTGCAGTTGGTAATGTTTTCATACACTTGCAAATGTTAAAAGTCAAAAGTACTTCAATCTTGTACTCTTTGTAAATAAGCAAAGTTTTGTATATGATTCTTTTACTCATTAAAAGCCTGTAGTTTTGTTTTTGTTTTTGTTTTTTTTGTGGTACGCGGACCCCTCACTGTTGTGGCCTCTCCCGTTGCGGAGCACAGGCTCCGGACGCGCAGGCTCAGCGGCCATGGCTCACAGGCCCAGCCGCTCTGCGGCATGTGGGATCTTCCCGGATCGGGGCACGAACCCGTATCCTCTGTGTCGGCAGGTGGACTCTCAACCACTGCGCCACCAGGGAAGCCCAGCTTTTATTGTTTTTAAGGAGGCTGGTCAGGACACTGAAATAACAAAATGCTTTTAGAAATTAAAGAAAAAAGAAAGTAAGGTCATAAAAAATTTTTTTAAGTCAGGCAGTGAGATGCCTGGTACATTTGGGTCACACACATCTGATTTCACATCAGACAATGGCTTATTAAACACTGCCTGGGTACAGACACTGAATATTTGAATATTCAAGAATGTTCATTGTATTGAATGAAGAGAAAGAAGGCTAAATTCAGTCAGCTGTTTGGCTGCTGAAGTTTTATATTTTAGGACTTAGTTTCCTCATCTGTAAATTGAGAGTCTTAGATAAGACTTCTAAGGCCAGTTTAAAATACTTTAAAGACTACAGCTTCCGGTTTCTCAGTCAACTGTTTAATAGTATCATCTCTATTAGCTACAGGTCAGGTTCTCAAACTTGACTGCACACTGCAATCACCTGGGGAGTTTGAAACCATCCCCAAACCCAGCCACTGCTCTGGGATTGACTAAATTGGTCTTGGGTGTGGCCTGAGCATTGCGAGCAGGGGAGGTGGGTGGGGAACAGTGGTCAAGGGAGTTAGATGCTCCCCAGGTGATTCTAATGTGTCGCAAAATTTGAGAACCACAGGTCTAGGTCCTGTATTAGAATCACCTAGGTTGCTTCTTAAAGGTGCAGGTACCCTGCTCTCAGGCTCAGATTCAGTGGGTAGAGGATGAAGCCTAAAAAGCTACTCTTTAAACAACTTCGTCCCGTGGTTGGTGCAGTGGTTCTCAGAGCCACGACTGAGAGGCACTGCTTTAGATACTAATTCTTGGGTGCTCACTTATGGTTTAGATAAATGGGACCAGCCTTAAGGAACAGCTCCTCCGAATTGGGTTCTATCTTTGGGAAACTGGGAGACAGTGAAGAACACTGGGGCAAGTGGTCATTCCGTGCAATTATTATAGGTTGAGATTTACTTGGGAAAAGTTTGGGATGTTGTCAAGAGCAGGAAAATCCCTCCAGCCACGTGAAACCCCCTGTGAAAACAGAGACCCAGATCTGAGCTGTTTAGACAGAGCCACAGGAGACCATACCAGAGGCCAGAGTGTCTGGGGCTCAACCAACCTCTTTCTTCTTTATAAAGACCCATCCATGTCTTCTGAGTCCTTACAACCTTGGACATAAGCAAAGTGCTCAGTGACATTGTGCAGTGAATGCTACGGCCCGATGTCACAGCCTTTGGGTGGGTCCATCATATCAGGACACGCAGCACTTTCCTGATGGTCTGGTCCCGTACAATCACCAGTGCCCTGCTCTGGCATCCAGGATGCCCATTTCTTCTGGACTCTCTAAATAATGGTGGAGAGGAGCAAAGGTGTCTGGTTGGGTGTAGCAGCAGAAGCTGTTGGGGCCCTGTCCAGACTCTTCCAACCCCCTCTGTTTCAGTGCATGCTGGTCTGACTTCCATTTCCCAGCACCTGCTTCTCTGCCTGAAGACCTTTTGTTTTATCCTCAAATACAGTAATACACACACGAAGCCCTCAACTAATGACTGATGGGAGTTGGAGTGAGCTTCCTTGCCTCTTGGGTGGGGTAAGTCTGAGGTATATTTCCTGCAGTGGTTCCCAGAATTCCTCAATGGGATTAAACTTCAGAGCCCACAGTGGCAAGTAACACACCCTTTATTGATGCTCCCCTTCCTCTCACTTCCCCACTCCACAGCCTGACCGATTCCATCCATGGATGAGGTTGGCCAGCCTGTCTTAGGAGGTTTCTGGATGGGAAAAAGAGGGAAAACTCTACTACATAAGAGCATTGAGACAGTGACCCTGCCCCACTAGTGAAGCATGGCCCATGAACGTCAGATTCTGACCTATTGCACTAGCCATTTCTCTCCCACAGAGGAGCAAGGTGATGCCTAAAAGGTAGTAGACATTCCTCTGTCTTCATGCTCCCTCATGGAAGGGGAAAGGAGGTCCCTTCTTTCATGGTCCATGTCTGTAGTGCTATTAAGCCCATTCCTCCACTGAGCACAAGTCTACTATGTAGGTAGACCTATTAAATCTCTTTCACGTCATCTCATTTCTCTTTGTCTCCTGGGTCATGCCCCTATCTCAGGCCACCAAAAAGCTGGGGTCAACACTACAGAGTCTCACGTGCAAACTTTTCTCCATTTGCCCCTCCATGTCCTTCTCTGTGCCCAGGAGGCTGACCCCCACAGACTGCATCACTGAGGTTTCCATGCCATCTGTCTTCTGCTTAGAATAGGTGGTGTGGTAAAGGCTCTCACTGATGCTAGTCCCCAAGCGCTGCACCATCCTTTCTGGGCTTAATCTGTCCACACCTCTGTAAATGTCCTTCATTAACGTTTCTTCAATAAAACCTTATAAGTATGTCATATGTTTCCTGTGGGAAGCCTGATGTACCCTCTAAATCAGGGGTCCCCAACCCTGATTAGGGTCTCCTCTGTTAGGAACTGGGCTGCACAGCAGGAGGTGAGAGGCGCGCGGAGTGAGCGAAGCTTCATCTGCCGCTCCCCATCGTTCCCCATCCCTCAAATTACCACCTGAACCATCCCCCCACCCCCGACTGTGGAAAAACTGTCTTCCACGAAACTGGTCCCTGGTGCCAAAATGGTTGGGGACCACTGCTCTAAATGATCCCCCTGTAGTATGCCCCTATAATCCATTCTGCACACAGCGGCACAGAGCCACTTTTCTAAAATGCAGATGTGCTACTGCTCCCCTGATTAGCATGCTCCCATGTGATTAACTGCCCTCAGGTTAATTTCCAAACTCCTACAAGTTCCCACCTGATCTGTTCTCATGTTTCCTCTTGTCACCTTCCCCCTTGTTCTTTTCAGTAGAGCCAGACCGAAATTTTTAGTTGCTCAAAACCTCCTTGTCTTGAATGTTTACAACATACAGCTGTACCCCTCTCATCCACAGTTTTGCTTTCCACAGTTTCAGTTACCCGTGGTCAACCGTGGTCTGAAAATACATGAGTGAAGAGTTCCGGAGATAAACAATGCATAAGTTTGGAATTGCAGCCATTCTGAGTCATGTGATGAAACCACGTGCCAGCCTGCTCTGTCCTGATTGGCATGCGAATCATCCCCTTGGCCAGTGTATTCATGCTGTACACATTACCCACCCATTAGTCACTTAGCAACCATCGGGGTTATGGGACCGACTGTCACAGTGTCACATTCACATAACTTTTATTACAGTATATTGGTGTCACTATTCTATTATTGTTGTTAATTTCCTACTGTACCTAGTTTATAAATTAAATGAACATATGCACATACGTATAGGAAAAACATAGTGTATATGGGGTTTGGTACTCTAGTTTTAGGCATCCACTGCCTTGGAATGTATCTCCCGTGGATAAATGGGGACTACTGCTTGGCTTTCTGCCTAAAACCTGCCCTCTTCCTCCTTTATCTCCTACCCCTGAGCCCTACAATCTCAATCCTTGATCTGGATAGATTCTACTTGTACGTTAGGTCTTAGTTTCGATGTCACCTCTTCTCCCATCACCAGTCTGGATTAGGGACTTCAGTTTTCGTAGCACCCATTTATTTGCCCACGTGTCCCAGCAAACTATGATGTCCCTGCCTTCCAGAGCTCTCTCATCCTATTTCCAGTCTCAGGAACAATGCCTGGGAAAGGAACAGGATGGTCAACAGCTCAGTAACTATGACATTTGTTCACTGGTTTTGTTTCCTGCAGAAATGACCTCCTTCACTGGTTTTCTTTCCTGCAGAAATTATCTCCTGCTCAGCCTGCAACTGTGGTATACAACTAAGAACCTTATAGCAAAAGGGATGGAATACAGGAACTCTCAGGCCTATTGGGATCCTATAAAAAGAAAACAAAAATAGAATGTTTCTCTGGCTTCAGATCACCCCGCTCTCAGGGCTTAATGCTGACAGACGGTGCACATCC